TGAATTGACAGCTGTGCTGTGGTCACACACAGAGTATCCTTTTCTTAGGGAATCAACCTGAAGTGCGAAGGGGCCCCGGGCCATTAGGTGTGCGTGAGGAGGAAGAGGGAGGCTCCGAAAGAACACCAGGGGCAAAGCGGTAACAACAGCTGAATCAGAGGGAAGGGCACCTAGGTGTTCTTTGCACTATTCTAGCAATTTTTCTGAAAGTTTGAAATTATCCTAAAATACAAAATTAAAAAAAGAAATGGGCCCAGGTCAGCATTTGTGTTCTAGGGCCCACCCATCTGTTGTTTGACCCACACAAGCTTTAAAAGAATAGAGATTTCTTGCCAACACGTAAACATTGGGAGACTGCATGAAAATCTGGATTGCTGGCTTCCCTTGCAAAGGGAACTCTGCAGCCACACTGAGTGGCACTTCTGGAGGCAGCAGCGGGAGGCAGCTGTGCTCTGGTTTGGTGCCCATGCTCTCCCTGCCTGGCCCTGGGGACTTATGAGCCTGCGATTCCTCACCATTTCTACTCTGCCTGGTCCGAAGAACCTGACATGGGCCGGGGCCTGCCTGGACGTCCTGGCGAAGGAGCTCCAGGCCTTAAGGATTTCCTTTGTGCCTGGAGCACTGGGGACATCAGAGTCCTTCTGAAGGCTGGTGTGCCCCCATTTGTCAGATGGGGAGACTGAGGCCCTGGGGGCCAGAGGTCATAGCTGAAGCTGATGGAGACCTGGAACCTGAGTGCTCTGTCTCCAAATGCTGCTCTTGTTCCACACATAGCACCTCACACCGCACTGTTTGCAAAGGACAGTCACCTCCATCTGTGCATGTGGTCTTCACAGCAGCCCTGTAGGGTAGGGAGGGGGAAGGGCCGCCCCCCCCCCACTCCCCCATTGCATGGACACAAACATGGAGGCTCTGAGAGATGAAGGGACCTGTCCAGGGTCACAGGCCAGGCATGTTTGGGCCAACCGACTCAGACCGGAGTGTTCTTTGCTTTCCTCTAGGCTGAAGCAGTGTGCCAGATGCCACAAGGGGGTTTCTGAACTACCATGAGGACCCCACAGGCTCCCCTAGCCCAGTCTCTCTGTGCTCCCCGAGGGTCATCTGACCAGAAGGCTCAGCAAGGCCTCCCAGCACAGGGACAAGGCCTGAGGTGTCTGGTCATGCGCAAAAATGAGCATCCAAATGGCAGCTATCCAGAATTCAGAGCACTAGGAAAGAAAGCAATTAAGGAAAAGCCCATAGAGGAAGTAGGCTTGTGCAGGCTGAAGGAGGGAGGTGCTGGATGGTAGAGAGAAGGGGAGCAGCCCAGAGAGAGGGAAAGGGTAGACAGTCAAGATGAAGGAAGAGAGAGGAAAGTGGATACTTTGGCACAACCTCATGCGCTGCGGTTACTCTCCCATTTTACAAGTGAGAAAATGGAGGCTCAGAAAGGATAAGAAGTCTCCCAGCCAATAAGGGGGAGAGTCCAGATTGGATTCCAAGTCCAAGCTCCATCCAAGGAATTGGAAAGGGAACCAACTCATTGTGAGCATCCCTCTGCTGGCACTATGCTAGGTAGGGCTTCACCTATAACATATAACAGGACACCCGTATTGTCCTCACAGGTAAACTGAGGCTCAGAGAAGTGAAGCAACGTACCTGAGGCCACATAGAGAGTTTATTCCAGAGCCCGGATCTTGCTCAGCCTGGCCCAATCCTGCTCTTCCTACAGCTCAGTGCAGCCTTTTTCCTCGCACTGGCAGGCAATGCCTGAGCCCCTATGGTGTGTAGGGCCCAGTGGTGGAGCTGGGCATGATCTCCTGATAACCTCAGGCTTGGGCTCCCACCTGCTCAGACCTGAGCAGGGTAAGAGGACTGACGTGTAAGTGCACCGCAGCATGTCTGTCCTGGTGTCTGTCTATCTGCGTATGGCCAAAGATGGAAGAAGCCCATAAAAGTGAGACCCATTATCTCTGTTTGGGTGGCAGGGGTGCAGATGGGTTTTGCTCTTTATTTTATTTGAGATGGTTTGCACAGAGCAAAACTCAACCAACATAATGAGGCTGTGCCCAAATGGGCCAAGCACAGTGTAGATGTCACAAGCTGACAGGTGGGTCCCAGGTGGTATGGGAGTGACTGCCAGAGGTGGTGCTCAGAGAAGGCTCTGTGAAGGAGGCAGCTCTGAGCAGATGGGCAGAAGTTAAATGAGCAATGCCAAAGGGGGAGAGAGAGGGCCATTAGGGAGGAGGGAACAGCCTTAGCAGAGGCAGGGCAGAGGGAATGGAGTCAGGTGGGTCTGCAGCATAGGTACAGGGCGAGCAGGGTGTGGTGAATCCATGACTTTCACGGCTGGCAGGGGCACTGAATTCAGTGTCCGTTCAGCGCTTGGGCCTGCTGTATAACACTCCCACTCACAGCCTGTCCAGACCCTGCTCACACACAACCAGTGACAGGGAACTCATTACCTTACAGGTAGCCTCTTTTGTCCAAGATTGCTTTCTCTTCGGCTGACTATGCCACTTTCTCAGTTTTTCCCCTGAGCCTGGGCCGAGACGCTTGCTCCTCGTGCCCCCCCATGCAGTTGCGTTTCTGAATGTCAGCACTGCCGCTCGAAGCCGGCTTTCATTTTCTTCAGTCTAATTCACCCTGCGCTCTGGGGATCTCTGTGGGTCCTGACTCTTGCTTTCTTTTTGCCGTGCTCCCTAGGCTGGTGTCTCTGAAAACCTGATGGGCACACTCCATATTGCGACAGTACAGAGCTCTAGGGAAGGCCATTAGAAACCTTCCACCAGATAACCAGCAACCCAAGAGTCAGCACAACCCAGCCAAACTCTCCTGGCCTCTGGCAGCCTTCTCCACATTGTCCACAAGGACATCATGGGAGACCGTGGCTACTGTCTCCTGACATCCAAAGGCCCAGAGTCAACTTCATACCTAGGCCTCCAGCCAGTTGTATAGGTTGAGACCAAAGCAATTGGTTCAACTTGAGCCTGGGGGCCCCACAGTGTCTCTCTTCTCTCCGTGCTCAGAGACCACCTATTTCCGAGCTGAGGATCAATGCTGACCACTCTGTGACCCCACCAGCTTGGGCTTCATGGGGCTCTCCCAGTCCTTGCTAAGACTTGGAATGCCTTTGTCCCTAGTCCCCTGTTCTTCCCCACTGCAGGCAGGGCTCACTGCTGAGTCTCCAAGGGCCTGCAGGTGTCAGCTCTCTCTTAGCATCCCGTGGTCTCTGGGACATTCAGTTCCCTTGGAGACATCCTACCACCCCTCCCCAGTTATGAGGCTTCTCCTTGACTAGAGGAAGGGAGACAACCCATCCACTCAGGCGCAGCACCTCCCCTCGACTTCCACTGATCCAGATGACCCAGCTGACGCACCTGGCTACTTCTCCCAAGAATGCTCCCCTCTCTGCTAACCATTTCAGTCCAGAGGTTGGAACCAGGGCCCCAGGACCATGACCCTAAGCTCTCATGAGGGTCTAAATTCCAAGAGGGCATTTGAGGCTCTCCATCTCTCAGTCTGACCCCAGGGCTTTTGTACTTGCTGTTCCTCTGCCTGGAATGCTCTTTCCTGTCATTGTTCTGGTTTTAGCTCAAATGTAATCTCAGATATGCCTTCCCTGACCAGCTAAGATTCCTGTCCTTTCCTCTGGGTCTCTATTTCATTGCCATGGGAGAATGTCTTCATCTGATTTATCGCTATCTGAAATTACTTTACATATTTGCTTGCTTGCTTTTTTATTGTCTGTCTCTTGGAGTCTAAGCTCCAGGAGGGCAGAGACCTTGTATTTCTAGGATGTCCCACACTCCTTCAGACCTCTGTGCCTTTTACATGTTTGTCTCTGCTAGGAGGGCCCTGAATCCACAACGGTGTGGTGGGCTGCTACCCATGCTTTAAAACCCAGCTCAGTTCTGCGTCCTCCTTCTGTCCCCTCTTTGGCTTTCATGCACCTTCCTCACCCTTCGACTGTGGAATTAGTTGTTGGCTTGTCTGCCTATCCTGGCCTATCTGGGCCGGAGGCTCCTGAAGTCAGAGGTGGGTCCCACTGCTCAGCCCAGGCCCAGGCCCAGAGTAGCTGATCAGGGGATGTTTGCTGAGCACTGCGGGACAATAAGGCCTTCTGGGTGTCCCTGTTGGAGGGAAGGTCGTCACCTGGCTGGTGCCTTACCTCTGCAGGGTTTCCCTGCTTTCTCTCTTGCCCACTGCAGCAGCCAGAGTGAGATTTTAAAAACATAAATGTGATCAGTTCACTGCTTAAAACCATCCCAGAGAATCCACATCACACAAAAAATGTCCAAGCTCTCCACCATACACGTGAGGCCTGACATCTGGCCCCTCCACATCTCCATCTTGCTCACAGTCTTCCAGCACAATCCTGCCTTTGGGCCTTTGCACTTGCTGTTCCTTCTGCCCAGTGTACTTTTCCCAGATAGTCACAAGGCCAGCTCCTGCTCATCATTCACACTCAGCTCACACATGACCTCTCCAGCCACTTGCCTCCCATTGCTCTGCTTTATTTTTGTCACACACCTCCCACCCTCTGGAATTTTCCCACTGTCTGTCTCTCCTCACTGCACCACAGCTCCTCAGGGCTGGGGCCTCATCTGGCTCATCCATTCCTATTTGTCTAGCACCCAACCCAGTGCCTGGCATACAGGTATCCAAAACAATTGCCACCTGACCGATCCTTTCTCATCCTTGATAAGAATGGGCTTCAATGTTTGGCTTTCCAGAAAACCAAGTCACTAGAAGGTAAGTTCCAGGAGGGCAGGGATTCTCTGTAGATTTTATTCACTACGCTATCCTCGGAGCGGTGCTGAGAGCCCAGGAGGCTCAGTGCATGTTTGCTGGGGGAAAGAGAGGAAGGTCTCACTTGGGGCTGAGCTGGCCAGAGATCTGGAGCCAAGGACCAAAGTCTCCAAGACCCTCCAGCCTCATGAAGGGGACACAGGCACTCCTTTCCTCATGGGGGCAGGAACCGGCAATGGGAGTGAGCCCACTGTTGGGCTGCAGCTCACCTGACAGCAGCATGGGGTCCTTGTCCACAGACTTGCGCACCTGGTCAGACTCCCCTGTCAAGGAGCTTTCATCAATCTTGAGGTCATTGCCCTGGATGAAGAGGCCATCGGCAGGGAGGAGATCACCTGATGGGAGGAAGGTCAAGGGAGTCAGCAGAGTCTCAGGTGGCTGAAGAAGCTGGAATAGTCCCCTAAAGTTATGATTATAAGGGAAGGTTCACTAATGGGGACCAGCTGCCTAGAGCTCCCAGGGCAGGAACCAAGACAGCACCCATCACAGGCCAAAAAGCAGCTGAAGACAGGAGCCAAAGTAAATGACAAGGCTGAGGGGGCAGAGGTTGGGCCCAAGAACAATTCTAGCTCAAGTGGGCATGTTCTTTAGTTTATTAAGTGCTTCTCTTGGCCTGGTGTGGTTCTGAAGCCTAGTTTTCTCAACAATTCATTCTCTAGTTTCAACTATGATTTGAGGCATTCTTTTGGAAGGGATTAGTCCATCTTGGCTAGGTGGAGGAGACTCCAGGACAGCCACATTATCAGAGGAAACCAAGCCCCTGAGGGCTGAGTGAAGAGGGGTATACTCCAATCTTGCCCCCATCTTCTGTTTCTATATTCCCAAGGACATACTCGTCTAAATCCCTTTGGTACCAACCAGCCTGCCCACTTTCTCCACGGCAGTATCACAGGCTTAGAATATTCACTCATCTATGTCCACTCCCCATAATACCCTCTCTAACCCAGCAACCAGCCATCAATAACCAAATCAGGGATAAGAAATGGATTTCATCCCATAAACCCATTCTGAGTGTTAGTAGTCCTTGGAGTGTTGTATTGAGAAAGCTTCTGAGGCTATATCTAGGCTCTGATCTGTGACTGATTAGTAATGTCTGCTATGGGTACAGGTATTGAGAGTGGTGGCACATGTGCCATGTATTTGCCATTTCTGAGTTAAATGGATTCTGAAATCCTACCCCCTCCAGGAAGTAGCCTTCTAGGATCTCAGAAGACATCTTGGCTTGGGATCTGCCTTCAGGGACCCAGCCCCTTCCCTGGGCCAGCCTTTTTGGGTCTACTTGGCCTGCCCCACCTCTGCTCCAGCTCTAGCACCTAGCTCTGTGGCTGGGACACTTACCATATTTGATTTGGGCGATGTCCCCAACCACAATCTCAGCCACAGGGATCTGGACCACCTGGCCAGCCCGGACCACGGTGAACTTCTGCTCCTGCTCGATGCGGCTCTGCAGGCCCCGGAACTGCTTCTCTTTGCTCCAGTCATTGAAGGCCGTGACCAGGACCACACAGATGACTGAGAGAAGGATGGCAGCCCCCTCAATCCAGCCTGCCTCCGCCTCCCCTTCATCCTCTGACCCAGCCTGGGCTGTGGCACATCCTGCAGAGAGCAGAAGGAAGCAGGTGGTGTGGAGTCAGCTAGGCAGAAGGGGCCTCTACCAAGCAAAAAATGTTGATAATCAGGTAATCATGATCCATTTATTCAGTGTGTCTGGGTGCCAAGTCCTGGGCAAAGTGCTTCACACACATCATCTCAGAGCACTCTGCTCACTTCACAGATGCGGAAGCTGAAGCTTCTTAGAGAGGCCAAATGACTTGTCTAAGCTAGGAAGGGCAAGTGGGGAGCTAGGGTATCTGGCTTCAAAGCCTACTGTCTTAGCCACTCTGGTTTTCTGTCTTTGTTCTGTGAGATCTTGGGTAAATGACTTGACCTCTCTGAACCTCAGTTTTCTCATCTGTAAAATAGAAAGAATATTCTTCATCTTGGAGACCATCGTGAGGGTTGAAATTTAATGAGGTGAGGTCCATGGGATCCAGCACAGACCTGGCACAAAGGAGAGGCCTGATTAAAGAGAAACAAGAAAAAGTGAGGATGGAGCAGAAGGGTGTCAATCAATGTTGTACCCACTTTAGGGTCTAAAATGCAGTTTTGTTGCTGTTGTTTCCTTCCATTCTCCCAGCAACCATGAGGCGGGTCTCTAGGCTGGGGGGTAGGAGCCACAGCACTAGACCTGCCCTTGGAGGAGCTGGTCTTAACCCCATTGCTGTCCCTGTACTACCCTGGGTAAGTCACTGTCCTTCCTGAACTGCAGCATCATTATCTGCAAAAGGAGGTCACTGAGACCACTTCTGGGCTCAAGGAAAGGGAGGTGAAAGCTCCGGCCTGTGCTCAGCCACAGGAGTTCCTTACTCTGCCCTTGTTGGATTTGAGCCCCCACTACACAGTGAGGATACCCACACTCCATCCGAGCCTCTGTGTGACCTACAGGGATCCTGCACCCCACACCCTTGCTCCACTGAACCTCCCAGTCTGGATCCTCAGATTGTTTGAGGCCTGCCAGGCCCACCATGTGGAAAAGAAAAAGAAAAACCACTGCACATATTTAATGCAAAGGCCTCAGACTCAAAGGCGAGTCCTGTCTACATGGTGCTGAGCTCTAGGGCCTTTCCTAGCCCTTCCACACATTCTGTCTCCTGCTTCCCCACGACCAGCGAAACTGAGACTCAGAGAGGTGAGGTGACACAGCCAAGGTGATTGCTGCAGCCAAGACTAGCTCAGGCCCTTTTTTCCCACTGGGAGTGGGGTCGGGGGTAAAGAATAGCCTTTTCCATGTCTGACCATCCACTCCTGGAAAACTCAGAGTAGTCCTCTTCCACAGGGGCTGGGCTATTTGCAAGACCTGCTATATGCCAAGCATTCACTTTAATCCTCAAACTGGCTGAAAAAAGGGAAGCAGATCAGAGAGGGGCAGCGACTCACCTGGGGTAACACAGCAGATCTGGTATTTGAATCCAGTCCTGGGCCTAGAATCTGACACTGGACCTGGCCTGCCCACTGTCTCTGAGCCCAGCACCTCCTCTGCCACATGCTGGCCTCATGTGGCAAAGTAGAAAATGTTGCCATAGACCTATGACCAATTGTATGGAATTCCAATTCAATCCCAAGGAATAGAGAACAGCAGTTTTAAGAGACCCCAGCAGGAGCATCTGGGGAAGCCAAGGGACAGAAACAACGTGACAAGAAGGCCAAGTGGTACCAGGGAATGTTTTTCAGCCCCCAGCTCTTGGGAGGGTCCAGGGTCAGCTGGTGGGTCCAGGCTAGGAACAGTATAGAGTCATATGGCCCAGAAGCGTGTGTCACTGGAAAATTCCACATCTTTCCCTGAACCAGCCAGTCCTTGAAGGAGAGTTAACAACCACATCATTGTATGGGGTTCTTGAAGCTACTTTTTTTTTTTTTTTTTTTAAAGTTTCTTTATCTTTATTGTTGAAAATATTACAGATGTCCCCTTTTTACCCCCATTGATCCCCTCCGCCCTGCATCCATCCCACCCCCAGGCCTTCCCCAGACCAGTGTCTGTGTCTGTGGGTTAAGCTTATAAACATATAAGTTCTTTGATTAATCTCTCCCTACCCATTCCCCCCTCCCACCTTCCCTCTGAGATTCCTCAGTCTGTCAAAGCTACTTTTTTTTCTCCTTTGGGAATTTCAAGACTTTTCCAGTAATTTTAAACTGTTTAATTGGACCAGCCTTTAGTGGTAATGATACTTACGATCTTGCTGATGATAGCTGACATTGGGCCAGCCCTGAGTTAAAATCCCAGCTGTATTACTTAACTGCTGTGTGCTCACAAACCAGCTATTGAGCCGCTGTGCCTAGGTTTTCTCATCTGCAAATTGTAGCTAAGGACAGGCGCTCCCTCCTGTGTGGTTGAGAGGACTCAGGGTGAGCCTTTAAGTAAAGCATCTACCGCAGTGAACACATAGTAAAGGCTCAGTTAAAGCGGCTGCTTCTTGTTGCCCAGCATTTGGCACATATTATTGCATTTGAGTCCCACAGCCAGCCTGAATGGGGCTGCGAGCCCCACGTTACAGAAGGGATCCAGCTGTATTTCAGACCATGTGATGAAGGGGGGAGGGAAACTAGGGTGCCCACTACCACCATGAATGACACCAATAAACCACCAATGCCCTCAACTAGAAAACACAGGTGAACCTGCTAAACAGAAACCAATATATGAAAATGCATTCTCTTGGACTTCAGGGGAGTGATTTGAAAAGCAGAGCCCAGTGCTTCACCTTATAGGACTTCTGTTATCCCCTGGCCCTGCTACATGCTCTGCACATGGGAAGGCTGTTCTTTCCCTGTTGTGTGCTTCGCCAATGGGCCCCCCATTAGTTATCGAAGCATTTAGGACACTTGGAGACAGCCCAGGACAATGGAAAGCCTTCAGGTACTGGAAGCAGAAAGACCTGGCTTCAAACCCAGGGTCTGCTGTGTGACCAAGAGTAAGTGACTTGGCCTCTTTTAGCCTCAGTTTGGACGCTCGTAAAGTGAGATGACCCCAGGGATGTTGTGAGCCCTGGACCTAGTAAGGGCTTGGCACATGGTACATAATAAACATTGGTCCTCTCCCCCTTTTCATGAGCTGCTCTCCTTGGACTGGCTTCTGGAAACCAAGGCACGGTGGTTGAGTGGGATTCGCACCCCATTGCCTTGACTCCCAACCCTGCCTGCTGCCCTTGCTGATTCGATACCATGGAGCCCTCTGGGCCCGTAAGGGCACTCACTCTGCCAGCAAGAGCCCATTAGCTTTTATCTCCTGAGAAATGTCTGATGGTTACATGGTGCCTTGGAATGGTCAGAAAGTGAGGGTGAGGATCTCTGGGTTAGGTCTTCAGCCACCGGGAGCTGCTGGACCCGGGAAAAACTCCTGCTGCCCCTAGTGCAATCAGAGTGAAGAGGCCAGGAAGGGAAACAAAGGGAGTGGGCAGGCCTTGCTGAGAGCTCTAGGGACCCTGACCCTGGAGCAGGGACAGGATCTAGAGATTGTGACCACAGGGTCTGGGGAAACTACAGCTGCTTTCTCTGGAGCTGGGGTTCTTTAGGGTGTGGTCTCTCACTCTGTGTGACCTTGGGGAACCCATGGGGCTTCTCTGGGCCTCCCTCTGCTTGTTAACCGGTAAAATGGGGAAACTACCTCCTAGATGGTTACCAGGGCCTGGCATTGAATAAGGGACCTAAAAAATGGTCAAGCCACAAACATTTTCTAAGAACCTACTATGTACCTGTCACTCTGCTGGCACTTTGGCACTAGGGAAGCTGTTATGAGCAAGGAGTAGGAAGCATTGGGTGAGTCAATCTCAGTCCTGCCACAAACATGCTGTGTGACCTCCGACAAGTGTGTAGAGATCTCCGAGCCAAGAAAGGGAAGGGCTGTGGGTGCTGCAAGGCTCTCTATAGCCTTGAGTCCATCACCAGCATCATTTTTTACACAACCAGCGAAGCCAGTGTCTGACTTGGCAGGAGGTGGTTCTGGCAGCATCAACAGTCCAGAGCTGAGAGCTCAGGCCAGGGCCTGGGTGTCAGGGAGGCATAAGTATCGTCACAAAGTTCAGGAACTGCACTCTGTGGGGCTAGAGTGTGCTCAGCTGCCCTCATGGACCCAGAGTGTGGTCTGCACTTAGCTGGAAGCAGGGAGGGGCAGTGAAAAGAACCAGAAGACTTGGATATCAAACCCAGCCCTACTGTGCACAAGCTGTGTGACATTAGGCAAGTCCTTCCTCACTCTGGGCCTGGTTTCCACCTCTTAAAGATGGGGCGATCGCAGCCATCGGATTGGAGGGCTCTGGGAAGGCTCTCCCCAGCCCGCACCGGGAGCTGCCACTGCACCCCCTCCACCACTTGCCTCTGAGTTCTGGTCTTGCACTTAATTGGGTCACATGAGGTCAGTTATTCAGCTGTCACAGCCTCAGCCCGTCTCATTCTGAGGGAGAGGAGCCAGGGCTCAGAAGCCAGAGCGTCTCTGTCTGAGTCATGGTTCTGTGCTCCCTAGAGTGTGACGGAGCAAGTCATTTCCTATCTCAGGGCCCCGGTTTCCTGGATAATAATAGCACCTATCCACAGGGTTGTTGTGAGGATCAAATGAACTACTGTAAAAGCTCTCAACTAGTAGTAGCTATAAAAATAGTAAGAACAATTATTATGTTTTTGTGTCACTCCCTCAGCTCTGTTCAAGGTTTATTCAAGTAGCCATGTATACTCTTCTACATTTTCTATAAAACTTCTTCAAAGAATGCTGCCCATTATTATTATTATTATTATTATTTTGTTAATCCTTTCCCTAGGATATTTTTTCCATTGATTTTTAGAGGGAGTGGAAGGGAGGGAGGGGGGAGAGAGAGAGAAAGAGAGAGAGAGGGAGAGAGAGAAACATTGCTGTGAGAGAGACACATCAATTGGTTGCCTCCTGTAAGGGTCCCAACGGGGGCCTGGGATTGAACCTGCAACCCAGGTACATGCCCTTGACCAGGAATCAAACCCATGATCCTTCGATGCACAGGCTAATGCTCTAATCACTTAGCCATACCAGCCAGGGCAATGCTGCCCATTATTCATCTTTTATAATGTCCTATGTGAAAGTTCATCCCAGAATTCATTGTCAGGGGGCGTGCTATCTTCCTAAAGAACCGTTTTCCCTCCTGTTGATAATCTGAGCTATGCAAATCATCCTAATTCCCTTTCTGCCTTGGCTGCCAGGAACCTCAAAATCAAATTTATATCCTAATCATGGCAGCAAACAGATTTTATTTGCTTCCATTCCTTTTCTGTCTGGCTTTCTATTTGACCTTTTATGAGATATGTCCTTCTTAGGTCTTTAAACCCTTTTTGGAAAGAGGTTATTAAAAAAAAAATTAACTTAGTAATATTATGTATAAAATTGAGGCAGTTGACTTAAAGCTTTGGTTATCTGGTTTCCCCGGGGAACTCTGGCTAGGGAGGGGAGGGCGGAAACAGGTGTTCAGGGAACTTCGGATACCACCTCTGCACTGGAGGAAGCGAGGCTTGTAATGATGATTTCTTACATGCCATTCCCTTTTTATTTGCTCACCTGCAGCAGCGAACCTAGCACGATAATCTACTTATGCAGCACATTCATTAGAAAACGTCAAGTAATAATTAATAACAAAAGCAAGTGTTTATAATATCCTACTAATGAAAAATCAGATTACAAAATCCTAACAACAAAACAATATATCTTATGTGAATCCATATATTCCATAGTAGGTGTGTACCTGTCTATCGTGTGTAAAGATTTAAAAGACTTTGCCATCACAAAGGAAAGCAGTCATGGAGTTGCTAAATCCCTAGCCCTGAGCAGGTGCTCAGTTTCTGGAATTAAAGGTTGGGTGGAGGTCCAGGTTTTCCATTAGGAGTCCTAAGCCCTGACTTTGAAAAGGGTGGGTTTGCTCCAGAACCCTCCCAGGGTGAGTGAGCTGGTGCTTCCTTTGCCCACAGAGCAGTGCCCCCATTCAGACCTGGAACAGAGTTTGGGGTGCCTTCTCAAGACTGAGCCTCCTCACATTGGAACATGCACTCAGCATCAGCCCCACAGTGTGTGCATCCCACCCGGGTTGGGGACATGAAGGGGAGGAGGGGTGCAGGGACTACAGTCCTTCTCATGTGAGGCACAAAAGATGAGATACAAGAGGGAGAAGCAGAGAAGGAAGCCCAGGGCAGCCACACCCATGGCGGCAGTAGGGCCAGCACCCACTGGGCACCTGCTATGCGCCAGGCTGTCAGACACTGGCCACAAGCCCCTTCATCACCTCCTCATAACCCTTCCAGGTGGGATCACTTGCTTGTTTTGCAGAAGAGGAAACTGAGGATCAGAGAAGGAAAGTGATTTGCTTAAGGTCACACGGCTTAGAAGTGAGGTCTTCAACCATTTCCTTCTCCCTCCCTGCTCAGAGGCGAGGGGTTAGGGAGAAGGAGAATGGTTTTCTTGAGGCAAAACTTCCCATCCTGACCTTCTGGACAGAGGTTGGCAAACTTTCTCTGTAAAAGGCCAGCTAGTAAATATTTTAGGCCTTGTGGGCCACATAATCTTTGTCACAGCCACTTGACTCTGCCATTGTAGTGGGAAAGCAGCCACAGAAAATATGAAAAAGAAATGGAAGTGTTCCAATAAAGCTTTATTTTTACACAATGAAGTAGGAATTTCATGTAAAAGTCAAATGTCACAAAATAGTATTATTTTGATTTTTTCCAACCATTAAAAAATGTAAAAACCAATCTTAGCTCATGGGCCATACAAAAACAGGAAAGGGAGCCCAATTTGGCCCATGGGCTGTAGTTTGCAATCCCTGTTCTAGAATATTCAGTGCATGAGTTTTTTCATAGTTGCATGCCTCAAGGAGTGAGTGACTTGGGGTTCTGAGGAGAAGCCCAGCTTTGGAGGGTCCCCCAGAGGCTAGAGCATGCAGAGGGCAGGGGACTTGAGAGGGATCTCTGTGAATGGGGCTGAAGCACTGCCAAATCAAAGAGCATGGAAATGCAGCCCACCAGGTAAGCAATCTGGGGGCTTTGTCCTCAGATGTGAGAGTGGGGAGCGCTCAGAGAGCAGTCTGGACATACATTCGGAGCTACCCTCACTTGGACTCTGTCCAATAGAACCAGACTCTCTCAGGGAGGGGTCTGGGCAGTAGTTTTTCTAACAAGCTCCACTGCAAAACCTAAGGACTCTTTATTAGCTGGGTGACCTGAAGCAAATTAATGCACTTCTCTGTGCCTTGGTTCCATGTCTTTAAAATGGGCATAATCATGGACCCTACCTCATGGGGTTGTTAGGAGGACAACACCTCAGCCCAGAGTTTGGCATGCTGTAAGTGCTCAATAAACGATCACTATAATTATTACTATTGTTGGTCTAGCCCTTGCATGTCACAGGAACACAGGGGGCAGGGCTTTGAGCTCTGGAGTTTGGCTCCGCCAGTGATTGGTTGTGGGTGAGGCCCTGATCCTTGGGCCTTGGTTTTCTCACCTGGAGCAGTGGCTGTTAGCCCGAGTGCCCTCTGGTGTGGCCAGGCACGCATGTTGCAGGGAGGGAGGCAGGGGTTCAAGGACCCCTGTCTTACCTTCATTGCTCTCGCCAGGCGGGTGGTAGAAAGACAGCCCCAGGGAGATGATGGCCGCAATTTCCAGGATGATCAGCGTCACATCTTGCAGCGCTTCCCACACGAGCTGCAGGAAGGTTTTTGGCTTCTTAGGAGGTATAAAGTTTTGTCCAAAAATCTGCTTTCTCTTTTCTAGGTCTGGAGCGGTACCTGGCAAACCTGTGGACAGAGTGCAGAGAGGTTGGCCTGGAGGGCCCAGGGGAGACACACAAGTTCCAAGAATTGTCTCAAGTGGTTCTGGCCATGCGGCAAAGGACAGAAAGGGGCAAAAACAAAGCAGGAAACTTGCAGGCACCAGCCAGGAGCCTAGAGCCCAGCGCTCCCCAGAACCTGTGAATGTGATCTTATTTGGGAGAATGGTCTTTGCAGATATAATTAAGGATCTTGAGATGAGATCACCCTGGATTATCCAGATAGGCCCTAAGCCCAATGACAAGTGTCCTTGTAAGAGACAGAAGAGGAGAAGATACAGACACTGAGGGAAGAGTAGAGATTGTAGTGATGCAGCCACAAGCCAAGGAAAGCCCAGAGCCATTGCTGGGTAAGTGACTCTTAGTGCCTCAGTTTCCCCATCTATAAAATGTGCGCAACAGCACGGCCTACTTCACAGGGGTGGGGTAAGGCTGCAGCAGGATGCCTCGCGTAAAGTCTGCTTTGCCTGGCACCAGGGGAGGATGCTGAACTATTACTGTCTAGCTTTAGGCGGTGTGGGTAATGCATCACTACCTCCTGGAGGAGGAAGACTGGGCGGGTGGGATTTCACGAAGGTGGGGAGGAGGGCAGTCAAGGTGAGGCTAGGCACAAGCAGAAGGGCTGTGGGACTGCACACAAGCCACGTCTCTCTGGGCCTCAGTTTCCCCACATGTAACATGAAGGATTGGCTTGGCTGAAGGCTGGAGCTGGTAGCTCTGATATTTTGTATCTAAAGACAGTGTTTTGAGGACCTACAGGTGGGACAGCCCACCAGGTCCACCTGTCACCCCTCCCCAGGAGTGCAAGTGCATGGTCTTGCTGCCTTCTGCCTGAAAATCAACATGACTAGTTTGAGGAGCGGAAATAACTGAGGCTGGTGTGAGAGATGAATGGTGTTGGTGATTCAAGTTAGATTAAAGAGTACCTCACCATTTAGCATATTAAAAATTAATACAGTGTGTCAAATATTACTGGACAAGGCCAGCCAGGCCCTGAAAATTCAGAAACACAAATGCCCAGGAATTGATATCGGACCCTGTGTGGGGTTGTGGGTTTTCAAATGTGAATTTCTTTTTGTGCAAGAGGCAAAGGGCAAAGCACTGGGACAGGAGTTAGATTTGTGGATGAACTTGGGGCAGTTGTTTCGTCCTTCAGAGACTCAGTTTTGTCATCAATAAAATGGGAGCAAATAACCCCTAGACTATGCTGAGCTATTTGAGGAGGAATGTATGTGAATGCTCTCTAACCTGCAAAGGTGTGGTAAGTGCCTTCACAGTAAAAAGTATTCTAGAGCTTGGAGTTGCAATTTGTGTGTTCTATATATTACATAAAAGGAGAAAGCCAAGTGCAGAGTGGCAAAGCCAAGTGGGGGACTTTGGTTGTTAAGGAATTATTTGTTGTAACGGCTGCTGGCTGTCATTGGATATTTGAGGAATCCTTGCCCCAAAGTTCATCTCTATCCAGCTGTCCTGGACACGAACTGTATTTTCCACCCCAGCTTTTAAGCCTTTGCCTCTGCCAGTTCCCTAATTTCACTGTTTGGACTGCTTTCCTCTCTCTCTCTTCATAGCTGCTTTGGATCCAGCCGTGAGTGCTACAAATGGTACCCTCAGGCCATCAGAGGGGTTTTGTTTGGTTGGCACTGTGTTTTAAACAAATGGAAATTTGTCGCAAACATTAAAAACTCAGGCTCTTCCACATAAACATCCTGTTGTCTGGCTCAAGGGGATGTGCTTGGACTTCCAGGAGCTGGAAATTGTGATTGGAAGTTCTCTGACCCAAACATTGGTCCCACCTTGGCTCTGGGGACATATTTCCAGTTAAGGAAAGCTCAGGGGGACAGTGAGTGCCAGCTTAGGTTCTTTCAGGGATAGAGGGAAGGGCGTCCTCATAGGTGAGCTGAAGGTGGATGGATGATGTAGGGAGGAAGGAAAGGGGGTGGATGTAGACTCTGGACTACTGGCCATGGGCATCCTGTCACCAGATGCCAGGGCCCCAGGTACTCAGGAGCCTCTTATTTAAAGAAGCCCGAGTTCCCCCTCTTTCTCTACTCAGCCCCTCTCAAAGTAGAGAACGTAGTTAGGCTGTATTAGATGGCATGCATCCAACCGTCCACTTGCTCATTTCAACAATCAACAAATATTTATTGAGCACCTACTATAAGCCAAACATAGTTCTGTATGTTGGGGACACTACAGTGAGGAAGTTTGGGCTGCCGGGAAGGGTTTCCTGGAAGAAGTATAACTGGGTGAGCTTAGAAGAAAAAGTGGCCATTGGGAGGGCCTCAGGGTGAATTTTCCAGGCCAGCCAGCTGAGCATCCTTGTTTTCAGCAAAGGGATCCTGGAAAATTTTTTCAACCCTCAGTGGGAGCCGGAGTAAACTTTGCCCTCTGAAGCTGTTTGATATCTGGGGATTGTCACATGGCTGAGTGTACCTGTCCACTGCCTGAGCAGATGACTTCAAGTAAAAAGTAAGCACAGTAATCATGTCCCTGAGACTCTCCATAGACTGCTGAGGGCTACTGTGAAAACCAACTGCTCCCTCAGATGCGGGGGGCAGGAGGTCATGGCTGCAAGGGCAGTGGCAAGGGGGAAGGTAGGAGTGAGCTGAGGGAAGGCTGTTTCCAGAGGTGGGGTGGGTAGGAACCAGGCCCTTGTTTCCAGCAACTTCAGAGCTGGGTTCAAATCCCAGCTGCTCTTTGGTTCAGAGTCGGTGCCTTGGGCAAATCATTTCCCACTCTGAGCCTCAGTTTCCACCTCTGTAAAATGGGATAAAAGTATAAGTGTCTTGCAGAATGGATGGAAGATCAGGAATATGATATGTGTAAATAGTGCCTGGCACAGTAGGCGCTCATAAATGATAGATACAGTTGTTACCACTAACTACCACCACTACTATTAAGTACTATACTACTAACTACCACACTACCACTAACTAGCACACTATCACTCCTCCTGTTACTCTGGTCCTGGAAGGTGTCTCCCAGGTCTTTCTGTTGGCATTGCCACTGTCTTAGATATATCAGAACCCACCGACACAGCCACAACACATCCTACCTTGGTCCTGACACCTGGTTTAAGTGCATCTTTTCTGTGTGACCTTGAGTACATCGCTCACCCTCTGCATGTGTGTGTGTGTGTGTGGGGGGGGGGCCTTAGGCTATCTCACTTGAGGATCAGACAGAACCAAGGCTCTGACAGTGCTTTGTGAACTGTAAAACCCTTTTCTTCTATTATAATCACCCCATTAGGCAGGTGTGTACACTGAGGCACAGGGTCCTTCTGTTGGGAGGGCTACTGAGTCAGGCCTCTTGCCACAGAGCTCAGTGCTCACACCTGCCCCACTCCAGCCTGATCTAGTCAGAGGTCAGCTGCGTCTGCTCAGAACAAATGCCCTATATCGACCTTCCCTGATTAAGCTGACATGAGTCATTGATTCATACGAGCCTGATCCTGTCACTCTGTGGGACTTAGGACATTTCAGATGAAACAAATTGCAAGTGTTTTTCATGATAACCAAAGGTGTCTCCATGGCTGTGCTGCATGCATTTAAAAAACAGAAACAAGATTCAAACCAGGTGGTGCCCGTGAGGTCCCCCAGAAGGTAGAAGTGTGATGGAGAACGTGGGAGAGGTGTCTGTGCAGGTATGCACACACCCGGGTGTGGCTGTGTGTCCGTGCGCAGGCCTGGGCACATGCAGGTATGTGGTACGGGGCTGCCTGTGGGAGGGGAATCCATGTGCTCGCACCCTGTCAGAGGCCAGGGAGGGTGGGCAGTTTACAAAGGCATTGCTGTTGGGATGTTTGGGGAATTCACAACTTTCAAGACAAAACAATGAATGGGAGGAGATACGTAAGTCTGAGAGTTGCTACTTCCTAGCTTTGTGACCTTGGGCAGGTGACATCCCCTCTCTGGGCCTTAGCTTCCCCACATGCAACTTGGGAGCATGTACCTCACAGAGTCAGTGGGTGGAGGAAGCACATCTAATGTGCAGGAGCTGGCACCTGGCACCTGGCACGCCGTGAGAGCTTGATAAGTATGAGCTGCTATTCTGATACCCTCCCCGCCACCATTCCCTAGAGGAGGCTGTTTATGCCAGCACACAGTAGGCCCTCAGGAAAACCCCCTCCCTCTCCTGCCTCACTGGGGACCAGACATGGAGTTGAGGGTGCTGAGGTCACCCAGAGGGCCTCTTGTAAGAGTCATTTAACAAACATGGGCTCAACAATGCCACTGTGGGAAAAGTGCCCAGTGTGGGCGTCCCCGTGGTTTGTGTCTGTCTGGGCAGCTGCTCTAAGTTCAGAGCAAATCTGATGGCTATTGTCCAGTGCCTGGAGTTTACAATCACATCAGGGTGTTGATGGTTCCTGATGGGCAGGGTGCAGGGTGAGGGGTGTTTTTCTGATATGTCAGCCCCAGGGGGCTTTTCTATGGGTCCATTACGGGTGATGACACACACAGAACCAGCATCTGGCCATGCACAGGTGCATGCAGATGTGGCACACAGCTGTGGATGCAGCATTTAACCACATGGCCACAGCACGGGCCAGTTTCTCTGTAAACATGTGGACATGGTGTCCACTAGTTTCTGTGCACATGGACATGGCACAGAATGAAACCAGTTACTTGTAAACACCCCAGACACTGTCCCTCTAACCATCTTGACACATATGTGGACATAAATTTCTCCATTGATTTAAATGCACCACTTGTCTTTTCCCTAAGTCAGGCTGAATTTCCACCCCAGTTTCCACGGCAGGAATTCTTAGACCCACAAAACCTCTTAGTTCATGGCTCCAGAATTTCAATGTGGGCAGGGAAGTGGGTATGGGGGGAGTTTAGGAGCTGGTGGTGGGGATCTGGTTGAAAGGTGGGTGGCCAGGGGCTCATCTTGAAGCTATGAAAATATCAGTTATCTGTACCGAAGAATGGGGGGATGTCCAGTGGAGCTGGAGGCCCTCAATAT